AGCTATCTGTGGGCTCTGTTACATCCGTCTTCTGGTCCTCGACAATTCTTGGGGTCTCGGGAGTATGCGTAACACGGAATGGTACTGTCTTTCCCACGCGACTGACTTCTATTCTTCTGCTGTCCTCCTTTCCCACGGTTGCCAGTCGGGGTCTGGGATCGGCCCTGCCCCTCTCGGCCCCTGCCCTTCGATCTCCCTCTAGGGTTCTTATCCTGGGCAGGAGCGGCACTGGACTTTCGCCCCGCACTCGGCTGAGCCGGCGCGGCATTCTTGGGCTTCTTATGATTGAAGGGACAGCCCTTTCCTGCGCGCGGGCAAGTTTCGCCCTTGTTCACGCATCTGCACGTGGTTTCGCCCTTAGTCCCCCCGCTTTTCATGACGTCCGAGGGTCTTCCCAACTTGGCAGCAATCTCTGCCGGGGCGGCTTTACTGCCTGCATTCCTCTGGTTGTCATTGCCTCCGCCTCCGCCGAATCGTGCTTGCCTAGCACGTTGGTTCAAGGTGCCCTCACGCACGCTGATATTCCACCCTTTCTTTTTCTCGCAACATCATTTCTTCAATCTGCTCCATTAGCCGTTCATAAGTCTTTACGCCATGTCCCATTTTATCTGTTGACAAGTCGTATAATTGGCATGCACAGTTCAGTTTGTTCGGTTTCCTGCATTGTTCGAGAAAGCGTGCATGAATCGAGGCCCTCGTCTCATCGGACGGAGGCTTAGCGCCATAAAGCTGTTGATATACGTCTGTCCATTCATTGTAGAAATGATACAGGTCAGCATCAGGCTTGTGCGGGTCGATGTTCACCTTGAAGAGGTCACGTGAAATGCGATGCTGTCCCAACTCTGATCTCACCGAACACCAGTGACAATTTGCCCGCACCATTTCGCGTCCAGCCACGAGTCCCCCCTCGGTGTGGGCGCTGAATTCCACGCGAGTAATCTGTCGGAGGAAATGAGTATGATGACTAGGCTGATATCGATTCTTTCGCATCTTGTTGAACTTTTCGATAAGATTCGTTGCGATCAGGAGGTCGAGACGCTGGAATCGCCCTGCATCTTTGAGCTGCTCTTCCTCCACGGCTGGATCCATAGCCTCGGCAATGCAGTGCTGTGCCGCCTGGCTCTTGGGCGATGATCCAGCGATTGCGCGTATTGCGTGCATTTTCCACTCTCGAATGTTCGTTGCATCAGGGATGTCCAACAAATCGATTTTCTGGTTGTTACCAACCTGTCTCCACTGATCTAACGGCGTGCTTTCGTCAATTACTACCGAGTCGTGCGGTCCGCCGGGGCCCTGGGGCCCCCTGCGTCCACCCCCGCCCTCAGAGGGGTCTGACCCCCCTGGGCTTCCCGGAGGCGACCCACGTGGCCCTCTACCACGATCATCTTCATGCGAAGATACGATCTACATGTTCGGAGCGTCGCTCTTGTCGTCTCCTTCCCCGCCCTGCCCTGCTTCGCCCGGCGACTTAGTCGCCGTCATCCCCGTAGGGCCACCTCCACAGGATGGGCGGACACTGGCGAGTGTTATCTTCGTTAGGCCCCGTTAGCTTCACCCCTGCAGGAAGTCTATTTTCTGCGGCGCTCGGCTTAGCCAGACCTTCTAGGGCAGGGCCTGGAACAATAAAATGTTGACGCAACAGCGGCCCCGCGGGAGTTTCTTGCGAAAACAACGGAAATCCGAACGAATTCGATGTGAGTCCGGTTTCACGTTTAGTTTCAGTATGCGGAGTTGGGTCGGTGATGATAGCCTTAATTAAGCCTCATCTTTCCTTTCTCTGCATTAGCCGCGTTCGAAGCAATCTCTTCTTCTCGCATGTTAGCAGCTGACCTTTCACTCTTCCACAAGTCGCATCTAGAGCATCTCCTTCTATTCGCATCGATATGCTCGTCACGCGCCGATCTACCACATCCGACGCAATTGTCTGTCTTTAGACGAAAACAAACGGCGCAGAACTGATCCACGGGGAGCGTTTTTCCTTTCCCCTCGGGAGGGGGATGCATTGCACCTCCTACAAGCATGGTCGATGCTCCCGCATTTGCCAAGGTCGCCTGATCAAATTGCGCAGGGACGGATACAATGCCCGACGACTGAGCCGTCGACAACTGGTGTATATTCGATCCGGTCGGCTTAGCCGGCGGGCATTTAGCATTGCTCGACGTTGCGCGCTGGAGGGGCGATCTAGCTTCCTCATGCGATTTGAGCTCTTCCAGATAGAGATTGTTCTGGTTGGCCATCTTCGCAGCTACGGTTTGGGCGTTGGCTGCTTCCAGCCTGGCGGTCTTGAGCTCCTCTCGTAAGCCATGTTTTTCTCGTTCCGCCACGACTGTCGCGATTTGTTCTCCTTCTGTCGGGGCCGCCGCGACGGCAGCGGCAACCGCGTTGACGTCAGCAGATTCTTAATTTGCCATCAGGACGGCCTGTCTCTCCGAAGTCAATCATTCCCTGTATTTATTTTCGGCTTCCCGCCCCACTTTCCATTTAACGGTCTCGGTCTGATTGTACATATGTTCTATCAGCGCCTGTTCGCGCTCTCTAGCAGCCATGGCTAGGGCGATCCGCTCAGCCTCGAACGTTTTTCTAGCTTCGATTACAGTATCAGTTAATTCTTCTCTGCCCAATCGAGCTCTTTCGGCCAGTTGCGCTTCATTGGTCAGAAACTCTCTCTGAGTGTTAGCCTCCGCTAGCCCGGCCTGGCCCTGAATAGACTGCATGAGGAGATATGTGCAGTCATGCTCGCCCATTGGGTAACGCTCCGCGCACAGCCATTGCACGTTGCACTTGTTGCATGCGTCCGGGCAATTCTTGCGCACTGGGTTCCTACACGCACCTTCTGGCCTGTTGGCTTTCCCTGGGCATCTGCTCTCCGCCCGAGGCGCGCAGTCAGGGTTGGGGTCCCAACATGTCTCCATCATAGAAACCGTACTATTGATCCTTGAAGTAGATCTCGCCCCTGATCTTGGTATTTTGGGCCTTCCCCTGCTTGGCGCATTTGATCTGGGGCGAACGAAAGTACTTTCTGGTGGTCTGGGCGCATTTAAGGATTCCTCATCCTTTTCGTCTCGCGTTATTAGCTGAGCATACGTAGCTGGTTGTCCGACCATTTCTTCATCTTGAACAACAGCTGGAATCGAGGGTCGTCACTCACCTGAGGTGGTGGCATTACGGAAGAAACCTTCCTTCAGCGGCGAGACGCTTAGCTCGTAGTCCTCATTCCGTTGTTTCTTGATGCGAGGCGCGGGGGGTCGTCCTGTGGACCCCCTCTCATGCTTCATTTGAGCCTCCGCCCTGTCTGCCTGAGGCGTCAGGACACTAGTATCTTCGTCAGATCCATGTGGAGACAATCTTTCGTCTTGAGCAGGAATGTCTTCTTCCAACATCACGGACAAAGCTCGGCTCAGGGGAATATCGTTATTGATGCTATCAAAATCTTCCTCCATGGAGTATATGTCATGATCTTTTTCGATTGGGCCATCACTGTCATGACCGAATTGTCCGTTAAGTGCTATCGGAGTAGGGGCGTTGGCACTCGTGCCCGCCCATTCGGTCGGGATATCAGGGTACATGTTCCTATTCCCTTGGTCTTCCCCTGGCCGGCCGGCTTCACCAGCGGCAATGGCAGTAGCGGGTAGAGTATTTTGGATTGGGCTTATTGACTCAGTCGATTTGGCACTCCATGATGAAAAAGCACGTTGTCTGGGTCTTGGTGCGACGCCATATCGCCTGTGCGGGCCCGGGGCTTGCTCACGATTACCTATCGGAGCCCTCGCGGGGGATACGTCTACAGACATTTCGGTGATCCCCTCGGTATTTCTTCCCCTTACTACCCGAGTGGCGATGTCTGAAGGAGGGATTCGGCCCTGAACTGGGCCGTCACTGTCTGTGTCGTGTCCATCATGTTGTAAAACGCGCCTGTCGGCGCCCCTCGATATATTGGACACGATATCAGTCTTATCATAGCTCTTTCCCGCAGCGACTGAATCGCGGGGCGCAGTTGAAAGATCTTATGTTGTATCTACTGGCCCCGCGTCGACTGAGTCGCGCGTTTCGGCTGGTAACCAGACTTTCCTTTGAGAATCGGGGTAAGATGACAAAGGAATTAAGATCTCATGCTCACTCTGCTCAGGGAGAGAGGGGACGGGATGAGACATTGATAAGACAAGTATCCGTTAAGCAGGACTACTCTATCAGGAATGGGTAGGGAGGAGGTCGGCCGAGGACGGACAACGACGAGCCGCCCGCGCGCCCCAGCGCGTTCCCTTTCTCTCCTGCCAGCCGAGGTCGGCTGGCTCGAGCACTCGTATGGCTTCGGAAACGCAGCTTCAGTTCAAGCGGACAGTGCAACGCATGCAAACTAAGATAAGTTCTAATTGAATATGAGGCGGAGAGGAACATATTTACTATACCGGCTGGGGGCGCACTAGCACAAAGTCCAACAGACTGGCCAAGCTTTGACCCAACCGCTTGGCCAAATCGGCGTTTCCAGGAAGGCAGGGGGCAGCGGTGACTGGCCGTAGGCGTCTTCGATAATTCGAGGCCTGGTGGGGGTGAAAGAAGCGAGCCTGGATCGAGAACCCCACCGCCCTAACATGGAAAAGGGGACTTGTGTCCAAGTATCCACATCAAGGGTGCGCAGCACAACAGCGGAACAGACGCAGAGAATGCACACGTAACTTCAGCCGCTGCACCTCGGCAACCGACCGACAGCTACGGCAAAACCTTCTCCGCCTTACTGCAAACGGAAAATGCGAAGCTGTCTGGCGCCTTCAGCGCGGCCTGACGGAAAATGCGAATATTCACTCAACGTCGCCAGGGCTTCCCCCCTCCGTCATTGACCCCCGGCCTCACACAACCAATTCCCAGGACCCAGCAGGCTGGTCCGCTGGGCTGCCTCACAGCTCGTCGTGCGCCTCGTCCTCATCCTCCTCGTCGCCGCCACCGCCGCCGCCGCCCCCGGAGCCGTAGTACTTAGAGACGATGGGGGCGCAAATGTTCTCCACCTCCTTGTGCTTCTCCTTGATCTCCTCGGGCTCGGCTTCGGGGTTGGAGTCCAGCCAGGACTGCCCGTCCTTGAGGGCGTCAAGGATCTTCTCTTTCTCCTCGGAGTCCATCTTCTCACTCAGGCCCTTGTTCTCGCCAGAACCTTCAGTCGCAGACCTCATCGAATGGATGTAGCCGTCGAATGCGTTCTTGGCGTCCACGCGCTCCTTGACCTTCTTGTCCTCGTCCGCGAACTGTTCCGCCTCCTTGATCATCTTCTCGATCTGCTCCTCCGTCAGCCGACCCTTGTCGTTGGTGATGGTGATCTTCTCCTCCTTGCCAGTGCCCTTGTCCTGGGCGCCGACGGCCAGAATGCCGTTGGAGTCGATCTCGAAGGTAACTTCGATCTGCGGCTGACCACGCGGCGCAGGTGGGATCCCACCGAGCTCGAACTTGCCCAACTGGTGATTGTCCTTCGTCATGGGCCGCTCGCCCTCAAAGACCTGGATGTTCACTGCCGGCTGGTTGTCCTGGGTCCTCCTCCTCCATTCCCCCTCCCCCTCCTACTCCTCCTCCTCCTCCTCCTCGTCCTCCTCCTCCTCCTCCTCCTCCTCCTCCTCCTCCTCCTCCTCCTCCTCCTCCCGTCTCCCTCCTCCTCATCTTCCCGCACCTGTCCTGGTAGGTGGAGAAGATCTGCGACTTCTTGGTCGGGATGACAGTGTTCCGGCCTATCAACTTGGTCATTACGCCTCCGACAGTCTCGATACCCAGCGTGAGAGGAGTGACGTCGAGCAGAAGGAGATCCTGGCCACCCTCGCCGCTCAAAATGCCAGCCTGCACAGCGGCTCCGTAGGCCACCGCCTCGTCCGGGTTGATACCACGGTTCGGCTCCTTGCCGTTGAAGAACTCCTTGATCAGCTGCTGCACCTTCGGGATGCGCGTGGAGCCGCCGACGAGCACGATCTCGTCGATCTGGTTCTTCTTGAGGCCAGAATCATCCAAGACCTGCTTGACGGGGCCAATGGTGTTCTTGAACAGGTCGGCGTTGATCTCCTCGAAACGAGCGCGCGAGAGCGTCTCAGAGAAGTCCACGCCTTCGAAAAGCCCCTCGATCTCGATGCGAGCCTGCTGCGTGGAGCTCAGGGCACGCTTCGTCTTCTCGACTTCGCGGCGGAGCTTTTGGATAGACTTCTGGTTCTTGGACATGTCTTTGCCGTGCTTCTTCTGGAAGATCTTGACGAAGTGCGCCATGACGCGCTGGTCGAAGTCCTCGCCGCCCAGGTGCGTGTCGCCGCTGGTGGCGACCACCTCGAAAACGCCGTTGTCGATAGTGAGCAAGCTGACGTCAAAGGTGCCACCGCCCAGATCGTACACGAGGATGTTCTTCTCGGTCTTCTTGTCCAGACCGTACGCGATGGCCGCTGCTGTAGGCTCGTTGATGATCCGGAGGATGTTCATACCAGAGATGGTGCCCGCGTCCTTCGTGGACTGCCTCTGCGCATCGTTGAAGTACGCTGGCACAGTGACCACTGCGTGGTTGACCTCCTTGCCCAAGTAATTCTCGGCAGTCTCCTTCATCTTCGTCAAGATCATGGCGGAAACCTCCTCTGGCTGTAGGTCCTTGGCCTCTCCTTTCACCTTCACATTGATGAAAGGCTTCCCACCCTTGTCGACGATCTTGAACGGCAGCAACTTCATGTCCTTCTGTACCGTGGAATCCTTGAAGCGACGCCCGATCAAGCGCTTCACGTCAAAAAGCGTCTGTGATGGGTTGATGGTCGCCTGGTTTTTGGCGGCCTCACCGATCAAGCGCTCCTCGTCCGTGAACGCGACGTAGGAGGGGGTAATGCGGTTCCCTTGGTCGTTGGGGATGATCTCGACGCGGCCGTTCTTGTAGATGCCGACGCAAGAGTAGGTAGTCCCCAAATCGATCCCGATGACGGGGCCGTCGATTTTCTTTTCATCGTCCTTGGCAGACCCGAGGGTGGCGGCCCCGAGCAGCGAAGCCGCGACGAAAGCGCACCGCATCTCGCAGCGGGACGATGGGATTGCCAGCCGAAGTGCCGGGATGGGCGGGCCAAAGTGGCCGTTGAGCCGAACTTGATATTCATTGTGATGATGCTGTTTCCGATGCTGACGTAGAGACTTGAAAGCGGCGAACGGTGCTACTGTAGAGGAGGTGGAGGGTGAGGAAGAACGGAGGAATAAGGGCATGGAGAGTACGACGACATGGCGGATCACGTGGGAGGATGGTTAGAACGACGTAGACGGTGGCAGACGACGACGACGATAACGACGACGACGGCGACGGTGGCGGCGGCGGAAGCAAAGGCGGTGGCGGACACGATGGCGATGACGATGATGACGATGATGATCGCGCTCTCCCAAGGAAGGGCGGCGCAACGTCGCGTTCCCTTGCGCTTGCGCCTCCCTGCGCCTTGGGTTGCCCCCCCCCCCCCCCCCCGCGAAACGCGCGCCCGCTGCGCAGGCGAGGACAGAGCCAAAGCTCAACGGCGCACCACTACTAGGGGTCCTCGGGCCCACTCCCTAGGGTTTCTATGCAGACACACCCTAAACTGCAGTATGAAATGACATCGAGGCGCTAGCCCCACGGCGGAATAGACCGGCCCCTCGCTCTCCAACGTGTCGTTGTGCAACCTAGCAGACTCGAGCGCTTTCTGAAGCTCGAAGCGCTCCACCTCGGCCTCGTCGTCGCCCCCTGTCGTCGGAACCGTCCAACTGTGCGTATCTGTATACGACCGAAGGGTCGATCCTGCACTTGGGTCCGTAGGTAGAGGCAAAGGAGGACGAGGTTAGCTAGTCCTTTTCCTGGGCGCCGCGCGGAGGGCAGCGCGGTGCCATGTCAATGCCAGTACCTGAGCCGCTACGTGAACGGTATACGCCGATCTGATGGTGATACGAGCGAACGTCACCCACGAGCACACACACACACACACACACACACACGCACGCACGCGCGCACGCACGCACGCACGCGCGCACGCGCGCACGCCCGCCCGCACGCACGCACGCACGCACGTACACGCACACGCACACACACACGCACACGCACACGCACACGCACACGCACACACACACACACACACACACGAGGCCTGCCAGCTCCACGATGGCCTCGGGCCCGCGGGAGACAACGGCAGGGCTCGGGGGCAGAGGTGTGAAGTCCACTCGAAGCACCGTCATATCCACCGCACCTCCAAACGAGGTCGCATCGGCTAGGAAGCTAAGGAAGGGGCCAACCCCGCCACAGGGGGTACTTGGGGGAATATACCCGCCTTTAGCGGGCCCCCCAGAAAGGCTCCGGCACACCTGGGCGACCCCCCGTCACCGCAGGTGACGAAGGGGGAGAGGCAAGGGAGAGAATAGCAAATGGAGAACATTACTGCGTCCTTCGACGCAGGTGTCTCCACCGGCGCGCAGCGAGAGTGCGCAAATTATCGTAATTCAGAATACGATGGGTCAAAGTTGTGACAACAACTCGATCAAATGAAGAGAAACCTCTCATTCACGGAGCTCGCCAGGCCCAAAAATACCGCCAAGGCCCCCCAAGCACAATGTCACGCGATATTACGAGATTTGCGATGACAAGTGATCTCTATGAGGGTAATATGCAAAGCGTGAGGCACTCCAGACCTCAAAAGGTGCACACATTGTAACGTAAAATCGAACATACGCGGCGCCGCACAAGGTAAAAACGCAGGGCCAACGTGAAAACGAAAAATATGGCGAGCGTTTCGTCGCAAATGTCATGAAAACTATGCCTTGCATGTGTCGTACTCTGTCTTCCGACTTCTCATGAAAGTAAAGTGCACTAAACTCCATAATACCTATACGACCACCCTTCGGGTGATAAGGAGGTTCGGGGGGGGGGGGAACCAACGTCTCACTCGATCGGTCTCACTCGATCGGTCTCACTATCGATCTCACTATCGATCTCACTATCGGTATCGCTCGGTCGATCTCACTCGATCGCTCTCGCAATCGATATCAGTCGATTTATTCATTCGACCGATCTAACAATCGATATGAATATCGATCTCACAATCGATCGAACTATCGATATCACTATCGATCCCACAATCGAGCTCACATTCGGTCTTACTCTCGATCGCACTATCGATATCACAATCGATCCCACAATTAACGTCATCATCATCAACATCATCGTCAGCAACGCCATCCTCATCATCCACATCGGGAAGCCATCATCATCATCATCATCTCACCACCATCATCACCAACATCATCAGCACCATCATCATCATCGGGGCACCATCATCGCCACCATCATCATCCGCATCATCAGCATCGGGACACCATCATCATCATCATCGGAACACCATCATCATCACCCAAGCACCATCATGAACAACAGCATCAACATCATCATCGGGACACCATCATCATCAGCAACATCACCATCATCAACATCATCATCATCATAATCATCAGGACACCGTCATCATCGTCTCCATCATCATCATCACCATCATCAGCATCATCGGGACACCATCATCATCATCATCATCAACAGCAGCATCAACATCACCATCATCAGACCACCACCATCCAAATCATCACCATCACCTCTTCATCATCCTCACCGTAAACATCATCATCGCGACACCATAATCGTCATCATCATCGGGGCACCATCATCATCACCACCATCATCATCATAAACAGCAGCATCGTCAACCTCATCATCATCATCGGGACACCATCATCATCATCATCATCATCATCATCATCATCATCATCTCATCATCATCTCATCATCAGGATCATCAACATTATCAACATGATCATCACCATCATCGGGACACCAGCATCATCATCAACAGCAACTTCATCATAATCACCATCATCCTCAACATCCCCATCATCATCATCATCATAATCGGGACACCATCATCATCACCACTTTCACCATCACCATCATCACCAACATCATCAGCATCATCACCATCGGGACACCATCATCATCACCACCATCATCATCATCATCATCATCATCGACGTCATCATCATCATCATCATCAACATCATCATCATCATCATCATCATCATCATCATCATCATCATCATCATCATCATCATCATCATCATCATCATCATCATCATCATCATCATCATCATCATCATCATCGGGACACCGACGGGACACCAGCGGGACGCCGGCGGGACACCGCGGGCCACCGGCCCCCGGAAATGAATCATTTGGCATGACCGCGCCTCAGCAAAAGGCGGGACACTGGCGGGGCGCCGCAGGCCACCAGCCCCAGGAAAGGAATCATTTGGTCCAGCCGCGCCCCAGCCGGAGGAGACTTTCTTCTCGCCCGCCCACGCAGCTTTCCCTCGCCCGCGCGCGCGGCACGCACGAACACGAAACCGAAACCGATTTCCCGGTAGGGGGGGCTCTCCGTTTCACTTCGATCTCCCCCTCTCACCTCCGACTGTTGGCGGGCGACCTGCCGGGGTGCGCTTATGCTCTGAGTGCCAAACTGAACGAAACGAGGTCAGATCTGCCAAGACAAGATGGGATGCAAGTAAGATGAAGTACATTGAAAGTTTCATCAAATATCAAATACCAGAATCAAACAACACATGCCAGAAAAAAACAACTGTGTAACCAAACGACCATATCATAAATTGCCACAGAAATGTTTATGACAATGCAGTACTGCCAAAGACAGGTATCTAAAACTCATGGTATAGATTGTCCCTGACACGGTTGCCGCGTTCGTCAAATCAGCAAATCGTACGTCCACAGTTGGTGTCCTTCCAAATGTACTCGCTAGATCCGTTAGTGGAAGCAGCAGGACCAATAGTGGTACGCGTCATGCTGGTAGCGTTCAATGTTGTGGCGCCACCATGTCTCCACGTTGCGGCGCTGGCGCGCGGCGCTATGGCCGCGGCCTCTGTGCCCCATCTCACGCGGCAGCCGCCTCGGAGGCGCAGTAGGTCCCCGCGCGCTCGAAGCGGAGCCGCTGTCTCCATCCAGTCCAGCCAGCGTCAGGGGCGCAGCCGCCGACGGTGACATTGCGGCGCGGAAATGGAGGGGCAGGGGCAAAGCGGACAGGGTCAAGGACGGGGGCGCATCGCACCTTTCGCTGCGCTTTCGGGGACCGGCCTGTGGAGCTCAGCCAGCGCGACGCGATTCATCGATCCCTGACATCTCCCCGAACGAACGGAAAAAGTGATGAACCCACGTTCAAAACGCTCGCTTCGGCCGAGCGTTCCAGGGGCCCGTGCCCGGCGACCAGCATATCCAGAATTCGCGCTGTCACGAAGATATCGCACGGCATCGCGCATGTCATCGATCGTGAATGTTTGTTTTTTTTTCTGGGCCGTCCTGCCATCAGTCATCTGAATGCACAACAGAGGATCAGTCTTAAACCTCTCCACGCACGCCAACACATGAGAGGTGCCGGACAGCGTTGTCGCGCAGGTCGTCCGCGCCAGCTCCGCCCAGTGGGCAGGCACCTGAGCGAGGCCTGCCAGCCTCGAACCATATGGCGTGACGCTTCTCTGCCTTAACTGCCTGCCCCCGAAAGAAATCCTTCCTCTCGGCTTCATCGAAGCGGGCGCCCTGGAAGCGGATGGCAACGTCCGCGCGCGTGATCTGCCGTGCGATTTGCTCATTCACATTGCTTCGAATCCCCGTTTGAACTTTGGCAAGAACGGATCTGAGCAACTCCGGTCTCCCCGTACTCTTGTGACTCAGTGCGCACGTTACAGGCGTCGCCATGGATGCCATCAGGGAGATCCCTGTAGCAACTCGTATAATGACACTTCTCGTTCTGCATGTCAACAGCACCACGTTCAATGAGCTGCTGCACGCGGTTGCGGGCGTCACCACGGGCGCTCGAAGACCGACCGAGATCGCGCAGAGGACGATCCGGAATCAAATGAGCGCGAACGGTGGCCAGATCGGCGGCAAGATATTCCCAACCTTTATCGGTCATCGGATCGGAGAAGTCACCCGCCGATATCTGTTCACGAGC